AAACAAATTGTAAACTTGTTAATACGTTTATGTTTTTCCTAAACGTGTTCTATTATTTCACTGCACTAATTGTTTTTGTTGGCATCGTGCGCGCGTATTTGTTTTCAAAATCGCACTATCAATTTTCTTTTGTATCCGTTTGATTTGCTCAACAGATTGCTCTGACGACCGAGAAAAGGCTAACAGAATACAGTGATGACACGGTTCACTTAGAAACATATAAATTGATCTTGTTCTTGCTTACTTGAAGAAATTGGAAGCAAGCGTGTGTTACGTGCGAACCACTTGATCGACGCTTCTAGGCGTTATGTTATATTTTTCTAGTTTGCTCCCGAATCCTCGTCTCTTCACGACTGGTGTCAGAAAAAAAACAACAACGAGGATGTATACGCCATTCAATGCAGAATCCTACAGCGGTAGTATCTGTTTTTAGACATTAGGATACCTTCTGCCACCGTCAGTTTAGTTTCAGAATTTGTTAAGCTCATGTTGAAGGTCGATAAGTGTCATACTATGTCATTTCCAATGACAATTTGTATACAATGATTACGTTTGGGCTTGTGAATCTGTTTCAGGCCTTGTAAATTATGTAATTTTATATTTGTAGCCCCCCCTATCAGCAGTACAGGGGTGAGCTTGAAGTCTTGAAGGCATATAACTCTAAGAACCGGGTTTCGATACCCGTGGTGGACACTGCATAGATAGCCTATTGTGCAGCTTTATGCTTAACAACGAACAAACAAACAAAATATTCAGCAGAAGTATCACCTAAGTGGTTTATTGTTTATATGGATAGTGCTAAGACACACTAAAGTGTTTTGTGTACCAAAACGTAACGCGTCTCTGTTTTTTCAGCCGAGTAATGATATAATAGAAAACGAAATCCAAAGAAAAGAGGCCTTCTTAAGCTCTGAAAAAATACCCAATGAGCACTAACGTATGAAACTAATTTTAATACGTCATAATGGAAGTATTGGCCACTGAGAATGGGGAACAGTTAAAGGTTTGGATATATTGTTTAGAAACCTCCCATTTACTGAACTTCTGAAAGACGTTTGTATAGTCGTAGCTGCACAAAGACTTCTCTGTTTCTTCAACTTTCTTAGTAGAGTTTCAAGTTGGTCTTCTGTGGTTTCTTTTGTTTCGCTTAACCACAATGACCATATCGTATCTACGTTGTTTGTACTATTATTGCTCAGCCATTTCAACATTGTAAGGTCTTATTTGCAACTGTATATAAATATATGTGTTTGCGTGTGTATTTGTATATATATATACGTGTGTTTGTGTTTATATATACGTGTGTTTGTTTATGTATATATATGTGTGTGTGTGTGTATGTTTCTGTATGTATATATGCGTGCATATTTGTTATTTTGATTCCTTTTTGCATCCCATAATAATCAGCCTGGATG